AATGACATGGTCAAATCTGATGCTCAATAGCGTACTGTTTACTCGAGCCATCTCAAGCCTAGATCGATTTTTCCATGAACCTGATCCAGAATCATGCATATTGAACTCCTCAATGGCTCAACATCTGAACTGTTCTGACACTTGCAACACCCCTGTCAGCATTGTTGATCGTTGGCACTTCCAATCAAGGGGGCTCTGGAATTGGACGTTTGCAACCGGGTTCCACGTACTTCTTGGGAGCTTCAGCTGCTTCATAGAAACGAAGGAGCTTGGTGCTTTCTTTTGTGAGTAGGATTTAGTCGCCACACCCGCATTTATGTTCAACAGGCGCAATCTTTATCAAAGTTCTCTGTCAGTCAATTGGGATCAAAACAATGGCGCTGCCACATATCATAAAACCTCAAAAGCACACCAAACTATGGAGCCCTGCGCGGGGAAGTGAGTCACTGACCTGGATCGTCTGGGCCAACCGGCAACAGAGAAGCGAAGTTCGGCGGCAGACCCGGGGGCGGTGGCACCTCAGCCCAAATCCAACCGGTTTGGAGTTCAAAAATCCAAGTAAATGTTCGACCACACTTTGGGCTCCACGTCGGCTGACGGTGGCTAACGGCACCACAGGAGTCCACTTGATGAGCCTCTGGCCATCGGCAAAGGTGGTGCGCCCGCCATCTTTGAGGGATCAGGGCACACAACCTGAGGGCGACACCCAACAGAGACTTCTAGCCAAAAGGCCAAGCACACTCCGACACGTCTCGGAGATCGTTTCACTTTGTGACCAACAGCGCCTGAATCGACAAAGGCCTCCCCATCTAGTGCGTGAATCCCTTTTAAAGCCTGCTCAACATTTCAGGAGACTGAATTGAAACACATACTTATTCACCTATTCATTCCATCACTAGCTCACGCCGAAACAACCACCCTGCCCGAGCCAGCTTTGCTGGATCTCGGAGATGCAGGTCCTCGCCATCAATAAAAACAATGTCCTTTGGCGCATAGGCCTCTTGGACCTCTCTAAAAAAGGTTGGATTTCGGTAAATACTTCCAAAGATCACCAAGTCATAGGCATGGTCCAAAATCTTTGCTAGAATACCATCTCGATCTACTTGCCCCAAGTCAAAGTCTAGCGTCATGGCATAGGTGAAGCCATTCCCATACAGCTGCCCTCTGCGCTTCTGCCAGTTGTCATGTACTGGGTCTGGCCTAATCTTGGGATTTGGACTGTACAAATGATCGACACGGGGGAAATCGACCACTTCATCGCAAAGCTTCTTGAGGCCATGTAGGATCAAATCTCTTTGGTAGTCCGGAGCAGGCCTCCCAACCAAGAAAAGGATCTTGGGACATCTGAACTCCGATTCGGTGGCGGTGTCGTAACGACGGACTGTTTGAAGGACATACTTCGCCATGGCCTTCGTAGTCAAGTGATGCCGAGCATAGGTCATCATCCGTCTCAAGAGTGTGTAGTACTTCTCTTGATCAATGTTTACCCGCTTAGCCCTGAGCTTGTGGAGGCTCCAGTTCCCTAGCAACTCCCAGGCTTCTTTGAGCAAGTCTCGTGGCAGAAATGGCACCGCTTTTTCTGGCAAGTCCAGGTGGCCAAGAAAAAGCGGTAATGCACCATTGGCAATGATCTCATAGTGGCGCAGGCAATCGTATCCGTACTTCTTCCGAGTAATCCCAAAGTAAGCGTGGCGGTACTGCCGGTGATACTCAGCTTCCTGGTAAAATTGAAATTGGTACTCCCAAACTGGAGTCATGCCATCAGATCCATCAGAGACCGCAAAGGGCCAGTACTTCTCTGGCAGGCAAGGGACTAGAGCTTCCTCTGGGATAGAAAAGCCGATTGGATATACCAAGGCACCTTCCCCATTCTCAACTTTGACCGGAGCTAGCTCTGGCCAAAACTCAGACCCAGAGACTTGACGCGAAGTCTCATTGTGGAAATCGTTGCAACGAAAGCGACAGAACGGGGCACTACACGGCACCACAACTTCCACCGCTTCTGTCAAGACGAGACCAACTCCCAATCTCCACATGGGCACCGTTCATGGTTCTCCGAGCCCTGAAGTGACAAGTGGCTTACGAGAAGAACAATCAAACCCTGAGCAGCAAAGGCTGGCACAACATGACATGATATCATCTGCTGTCAGTTCAACGCAAGTCAAAAAGGCTGGAGGCCCTTGCTTCTAGGTTGGAGGCCACTAGTACGTTGGAGGCCATCGCTTCTATGTTGGAGGCCATCACTATTAGAAACAAAGAACAAAGAAAAGGAAGAAAGGTTTAAAGTTTAATATAGTTTGCTATTAGGTTGCCATCACATCGTAAGGCAAGCTCCTGCTCCCGGCAATCAAATAGGACACGGTCACCGACGATTCAGTTTGGATCCTCCCCTTTGGATGGATGCGAAGAATAGTGGGCCCAAATTTGCTGATCGTCCCAGGCCTTTGTTTTTGAAGGACTGTCGCCCTCTTCTTTCCTCTTACATGTTCAATCTGCTATCAATCCCTCTTAAGTTCTCCACTCACAAGGAAGGTGTGTGCGCTACAAGCTCCGTTCCAGCTCCTGGTTGTGATTCTAGTTGCAAACAAACACTGCAACAAACACGACACAATGTTGTTCTTGCCATGTTGCTGTTTCTATCTAAGGTCTTGCTGGTGATCCCTACCCACCAAAGTGGGAATCGCCAAACGCCTTGGGCGGCACGCTGGGCAAGGCTGAGCCTTTCTTTCGCCCGTTTCGCCCACGCCCCAAATCTGACAGACCGCTGCGGAGGCAAAGCAAACGTTAAAACGCCAAGCAAGCCCCCAGTTGGATCAAGATACAGCTGGATGATCCCTCAACCTAGTAGTCACGGAACTCCCCCTACCAAACTCGGTGGAAACCAAGCTGGCACAAATATTCTGCCAAAACTCTTTAGAAGGCCATACCGTACCTGTTTTGTCTACATGTGCTGCTCTTGTTCATATCTATATATTCAGGTTGAACAAAGGCCATCGCTAGTAGGTTGGAGGCCTCCATTTGAATCATGTGTACCTCGAAAATTGCGAGCCACTCTGCACCCAAGAAATGAAAGCAGGGTTCACCCTTAAGAAGTGGGATAAAAGTTGAAAGTCTTGAAAAATTGATACTCCAATGTAGACAGGTGCACAAACAAGCTCCTAAACACCGGAACGGTCACAAACCCTTCTCGCTGCCACGACCCGCTCTGGTTCTTTTTCTGCAGCATGACCGAGAATCACCAGACAATTCTTTATGTCTGACCAAACATGTGCAACTGAGCACCCTTGGTTCATTCGATGCCAGTCCCTGTAACATGTGCCACTGGGCTCTTGAAACCTGGACCTAGTTTTGATTTGATTTTAATGGAATCGCAGTGCTGTGCTGGGACATCCTTTTCAAGACCAAGCATTTATCTGGTCTGCTCAGTGATGCAAGCGCGTTGGTCGCAAGAATACGTCTATCAGAAAAGTCGTTTTCACATGGTCATCCTTGTTCACAACTGTTTGTACGAAATTGCACTTGTTGAATCTGCGAAAAATGCTCTTCGCCTGGAAGCAGTTATCATGCCATCAATCCCAATACATAAAAGGTGATCGAAGAAGAAAAAACTATCGTCAAAAATAATACAGTAATAACAAAAATACAACTTTAAGTGTTCCTAAAAATCTAGAAACCAAATGAATAGTGTGAGCGCTTCTTCAAGGAAGCTCCCCCCGCCGCCTTTAGGGCGGCGGGGGAGCTTGCTTGAAGAAGCGTGAGCTATCCTGAGTCCTGGGTAGTAGCTACTTAAGCTACTAGCTACCGTTTGCTTCTACTAGCTACCTAGCTACTACCTCTTCTCGGCCTACCTACCCCCCTGAAAGAAAAAAGAGTTTTCCATCATCCGTAGATCACATCGAACTTCCCTTTGGAGTTCGGATCACATGACTTTTCCACACAGCAGCTATCGGCCTCAGACCTCTCAGTGTCCAGGCCATTGTGCGATAGGTCGTAAGGTGTGACCTGAGACTCCCGGAGTCCACATCATCGCGAGGTACCGAAATCTTCTACGGAAGTCGCCATTATTCTTGGGAAATGTTAGAAATCTTCTTGAGGTACCCAAAATGGGATATCCCCCAGTAGGATTTCTAGCATTTTCAGAGGTGCGGACACGGCGGACACACTTCCAACACGACAAATCCTCTCCAACTCGTAGCGCATGTCCCTTTGAAAGGCGACAGTGGTTTCCTGGTAACGTGAAAAGGACCCAACTGGTCCACGCCCGATTTTTTGCACAACTGTTCTCGCAAGAAAACACATCTCAGTCGAAGCGGAATCCGTGTCTTGCGAAGCATTTGAGTCCTGGATCTGGACCTTGAGTACTGGAAGCACCCGCAAAAAAAAAAAGGAAAGCAAACAAATCTAGCTCGGATCCTTTGGACCAGCTGAAGATGGCTGAACTTGGTCAAGTCCCTGGCAACAAATCTGGAACGGAACTTACGACGGGGTGATCATCACCTTAATCGAATGGGATTCCATCTTCTGAACTTGATGTACTCAGCGTTTCTACCACAACAATACAGTTTTCTTGATTTCCAGCTCTTTGCCAAACATAGGTTCTTGATATAGATTCATCTTCCACAACTCCCCAAAGCGCGAAACCCAAGGTCGCTTTGGGAGGAAGGATTAGAGAACTGCGATAGAGCGAAAGCTTCAGGTCTGGGACCCTGAAGCAGCAACAGTGTGATCGTCATTTCTGGGACTCCATGTTCAATTTCTGGCCCACCTGCGAAGCATAGAGAGTTCCAGGTGTCCCAGGTTTGCCAGGGTCGCGGAAAGTTCCATCCAATACATCCGATGTTCCAAAAGATTGAGGGACTTGACCCACTCCAGACTGAATTCAAAGCGGTGAAACGATTCCCAGCATGTTGTATGCGAATGAATCGGCATGTGATGCGACTAACTAATGGTCAGGGGACTGGCTGATCTTCCTACGCCTTTCTGGTTTCAATGAAACTGTTGCTTATAGTTTTAACAGTATGCTTGTATCTGTGAGTTGGGAGTCGGGAGCGTTGAATTTTGGTGTGGTGGCAAGCCTTTCTCTCTACTCTTGTTCGCTGGGATCACCGCTGCAACTGCTACGCTGCTACGTCGCTTCAGGGGTTCCATCCTCAGGGTGCACCGCGTCAGGTTGGGATGGAGATGCCTGGCAGTCAGTCAGATGAAAAAAGAACTGCTGACCTCTCCAGTGACAGCTGAAGAGGCCCCGACCAACTCAAGCAAGGCACATTGAAATTCTGAAGGAATGCCCACGCAGCATCGAATCTCCGTGGCCCTGCCTCCTTACTTAATTAAGTAGGCGCCTACTTAATTAAGCAAGGTATAAGTTCGTTCCTAGCTTCTAGGAAGCTACTACATATGGACGCAGGATAGTTCACGTTTCTAACGATTTGGCTCCTAGATTGTTAGGGCTCACTAGTTATTAAAAAACATGTGCTGTCTGCGCAACACCTCGACTGCAACACAACTCTCCAACCTCTGGTATCGGCGGCGCAAAGGACCGCGGGCCAGTTGGCTCTGACTCTTCATCCAGCTTCTCTGCTTCTGGGAAGACTTCCACCAGCAGTGGCCTCATCATGACAGTCTCGCACCAGCTTTGTTAGGATCATGTTTTTCTCGGCATGCACACATGCATAGAGAGAGAGAGAGAAAAATAACAATCCGCCGACCCCAGCCTAGCTGACGCGTAGGCAGGGCGGCGCCTGGGACACCGCAGGGTGGAAGCCGTTGCCGTGTGGAAGCCGTTGCCAGTGGATGTGACTTGCAGTGTCATGCCTAGGGTTCCAAAAGCAACGTTAGACAGACCCGTTTGCGCGCAGAATTAGATGGGGGAAGGCTGTGGCGACACCAGCCTTTCTGCGCTTTCTACAGGGCAGCAGGACTGGTCTGTGGCCATCACCTCGGCTGCTGCCACGCGGCTCCGCACAGGGCTCCAAAAGCGTCGACCTCTGTTGCGCGCAGAAATAGATGGTGTCGTTTGCCCGGCCTGAAACCCTCCGCAGCAACATTGCACGTGCACCCGGGCCTAGCCGCGCTGCTGCTACGGGCTGTTGTTTGCCCGCCCTGAAACCCTGCGCAGCGACACCAGCCCGTTTCGACACTGTCGGTTGCCCGCCTGTCCCGCAGCAGAATTAGATGGGGGAAGGCTGTCGCGACACCAGCCTTTTTGGGCTTTCTATAGGGCAGCAGGACTTGTCTGTGGCCATCACCTCGGGCCTTGTTCACAGCACTGAAGGCTGAGTTCTACAAGAACTGGCGGTTGAGATTTGAACGGTTGGTGGATCTGTGGGGGCAATACTTGGCTGATTTGTACCATGTTGGATTTGAGCTAAATGGCAAGACATGGAAAGTCGCGGTGCTGGGTATCACCGGAGATGCACCATTTCTCCGTGAGATACCACAACCGCAGCTTTTCAAACTTGAGGAAGTCTCATACTTCAACGGCTTTGCCCCAGGGAATATGTTGGTTGTGCGCCGAAATCAAAATCAGGCAAGCTTGTCCTCTTTTCTTCCACATGAGATTTCTGTTCTCATTGAGCTTACCTTAAGACACCTGGACTGGTAAGGCTTGCCCAAAAACGGGGGTCTGCGGCACCAGGGCGTTAGCCCTACTTGTAACGCTGGATAATCATCAGCTTGGTCACTCATCCTGTGGCTTTTCTGCTTCACACTCTTCATCCTCACTCTCCTTTGGGACAGACATTAAGCGGCAAACGGCGAAGCAGCAAGACATGTCATCGGCAATATGCTTTGCAACTCGTCTTTTCTTGAGTACTAAATTGCAGCTTCAGCATTATTTGCATCAAGTAGTTCCGCTTCACAGAAAAAAGCTGGGTCATCACAATTGCACCTGCATCTTAGCACCCAACAGAACATGAAGAACGAACTCACATCTAAATCCTGAAGGTTTGTGTAAGTATCGGGTGACACCTGATTCAGACCTGCAAAAATGAGAAATGTGTAAAGCACAGGCCAAACAGCGTATCCTTACCTTTGCCAAACTGCGAAAGTCTCAATAATGAAATTCCAACATGTATATAGTAATATCATTGGAACGCAACCTCAAACATCTGCGGCAAGAAAAAACGGACACGACACACATCCGGAACCCCACACGCATCCGGTCCTCGTCGACGAGGATGGTTTCTCCGCGCATCTCCATGGCCGCTTCTTCGGCCGTGCGCAGGCCGAGCTTCCGGAGCTCCCGGACGCTCGGGCGGCGCCGAGCCTTTGGCCCGCCCAGCTCCTCGGGCGTGACGGGCGATGGTTTGTGATTGTTGGTCAAGAACATTTGGCACGCGCAGTGAAAGCTTCAGAGGTGGTTTCGTGCAGGCCATACTTGGCTTTACATGTCCAATGAAGTTTGTTTCAGGGTGGAGTGGACAGCGGCAGGAAGAGCAGCTGTGCAAGATATTTTAAGTGAGGCTTGGGATTAAGCTTGAGAAAAGAATTGTACGAAAATGACACCAAGAAAGGAACTTCACCAAGCGCGAGCCTTGGGCTAGCAGGGGGACACAGAGAAGTCACCGAGTGCTGAAGGAATTTAGATTCACCTAGCCTGCCCACCTGGGAACCAAACAAACAAAAAAGAACTATACAAACTCTTGGTGATCCCCCTGTCTGCCCAAGACCTCTCAGGAACTGTTTTTCTGTGTGTTTTTTTGGGGCTTTTTTGGTGCTCCCATTTTTTGAGGCCACTTTCCACTCCAAGATCTCTGAGAAATAGTTTCTCTTTGAAGCTGTTTTCATGTGTAAAGCGCTTGTCATGTTTGTGTGGATGGGAGGGCTAGGAACCTTGACCGATTGGTTCGTGGAAAGTCCTGTACACGGTACAAGTTATTGCTCCCAGCTATTTTGATTTACTATGTCCCTGTTTATTAGCTCTATTTTTTCCTGGATTATTGCGTGACTCCTCTTGTGGTTCTTTAGCTTAGCTTTTCCCATACCAAATTGGGTTTGTTTCAGACTCATTTAGCTGTTCTATTGTCGATGGCGCCAAACACTATCCTTGAAATGTATGTCCTATTGCCACCCATCAATCTTGAAATAGTTGCTCCTGTGCTTAATCACTGCTACCATTGCTTGATCATATGTTCCACTACGTATTTACTGCCACTATTGGTTTGCATCTCTTTCTCTTATTTAGCCCCTTCGTTTGTTAAATTGGTGTGTCTATGTTTCTGTGTCTTTCCATATGTATCTACCTTTTGACCTCCTTTTCACACCTTTCATTGTTGTGTTGTTCACAAGCTGTTTGTATTGTTAGGAGGCTTGTCTTTTAGAAAGCAAATGTTGTTTTGTTGCTTAGCTTTGTCCATGACTAGATTTTGAGAAGCAAACATGCACAGAAAGCACAATAAACAGAGATAGATCAGAGGCAAAAGCGTCGATTGGCCACTATCATTGCATATACTCCATAACGTATTATTGTTCGTTGATGTTGTTACCCTGTTGCTTCAACAATCGTTCTTCCAGAGACAAAAGGGTTGATTGATTGCCATCATTGCAATCTATGTCACAACGTACGTACTGTTATTTTTTGAGAGCTCGTCACTGTGAGCGTGCACTTTTTTAAGCATTTCAAGCTGCCAAATCTTGCTGTCTAAAGTTTTCAGCTCATACCAAAGCCAAAACTTCTCATGTGGACTTCCAACAAACAACAATATTTCAATAGAGATTCTATAGCAATCTTACTGATATGCACTAGTGTGTTTAATTAATAGCAACCCACCAAATAGAAGGATTTACATAGCAAAAATATTGATATTCTACAGAACTTGTCCCATGAGATTAGATCTACAGATGGTCCCTCAGCTTTCTTCACTTCTTGTACTTCATGGACTTACTCTTCATGGACTTGCCCTTCATGATCATCTTGTTGCCAGACGAGGGTTTGCCAATTGCATTCTTCGTGTTGGACTTCTTGCCACATAGGTATGAGACAGACTTCGCATTCTTGAAGAGGTTTGGCAGCCGAGTTGGATGCAAATACCGAGTGTTGCCACCCTCAATGGACTCGTTGTGACGCTTGGACAGAAGCAACAAGAAGAATTTGCGCCGGTGGGCTCGCATCTCATTGATGATAGGGGAAAAGTTGCGGAACCACGAGAAGACCTGTTCGCAGATCGAAGTGTTCTCTTTGTGAATGCGCTTCTCCAGCTTCTTGCGGTAGCCTAGGTAGGCTTGACTTAAAGTAAATACGAAACTATACAAAACGACACATTCATAAGGACTAATGCAACAACATGTGCCTCAATAAACTTGCAAAAAATGATTGTGGTCGTCTCGATAGAACAGAATCCATATTGATTGACTTGGTGTTGAAACAAACAGACAGGACACGAGGATTGCAAGGGCAGGTTCGCGAATGACCATGAGAATGAAAACCATCCACGACATAGTAGCCGATCTGATTCAAGGCCTCATTCGACTCCCCACATGACTTGAAAGCGCATGCTCTGTCGTAGACAAGGCAATCCAGTTTGGGGTACAACCAGATGACGTTCTCCACAGCCAGAGTTGCGACCTCGTTGCCTTCAGGCTCACGCATGACCTGCAAGCTGATGATGCGACTGGACTTCGGATCACACGCAAGCATCCAGCCATTGGTGTAGTGCCCGGTGGTGTGCTCAGACTTCCTAGGACGGCCTGCGCGCTTCATTGGCGCCATATCACACTGCATCTTCAGCTTCTGGTTTCCATCAAGGACTAAGGTCTTCACCTGCTGACGCTTGTGTGGAGGAAAGGTAGATGAGTGGCAAAAGGAATCGTAGAGGTCAAGATGGGTATCTTGGATCTCCTGTTCGATCATGATCTCCTGACGCAGGCCCAACAACTCGAACTCCCTCACAGCCATGTAGTAGAACAACGCAGACGCATGCAGCTTGTCAAAGTTCTGAAGGATTGACTCTTGGGAATCTCCGTGGACAACGTGGTAAGCGCACGACACAGCAGCACTTGAGAGATGACCACGGAACAGAAGTTCTTCATGATACTGGATGCAAAGAAAAGGCCTTCTTCGAGTTCACAAACAGAATGTTGTCCTGAAAATCCTTCACGCCAAGGACGTTCACCTTCTTGCCTGCTTCCCAGCGATAGTTGTAGCCATAAGAAGCCCGGCAAGAACGGGAAGTACAGTTCTTCTGCACGTGGACGATTTTTCGAGGACCATCTAAATCGTACAGCGCGGCATCGACGGACAAATGGTAGATGAGGGAACCAGAACAACCTTCACAGACACACTTGCTCAGAGGACATGTGAAAGTCTGCGGACTAGAACCTCCCACAGCATCCAAGGTCACTAACGCTGAGTAGGATTGCCTTCGCAAGTAGTAGAAGGTGTACTGGTCAGATGACAACATGTCCATTGCCACACCAGCAGACACCACTGAGGTGACCTCACCATCCTTCTTGAGGAGCAAACCTTCTCGACGCTGCAAGGCAAAGAAGTGCTTCATGTCCTTGTCATGCACGATGTAGCTGCCATCCGGCAAAGACTTTCGACAATGCTTCTGACACAGTTGGACGCCAAAGGGAAGTAGCAGACTATTGCCGTAGGAAACTGAGAATGGGCCATCTTGATCGCAAACCACCAGAAGACCAATATTTTGCATGGCCATGATCAAGCACACATCTTTGAAGCCATTCTGGCAGCCAGGACCTCCATATTCTAAGTCAGGAGCAGCACCAACGCGAGGCATCGGATCTTCGTCGTCAGAGGGAGGATGAAGTCCAGGCAAAGTGTCCGGATTGGGAATGTCTTCTGTCCTTCTCTGTCTCTTGTGTGGTGGCGGGGAAGGTGTGTCCAAGACAATGGGCTCACTAGAGGTAAAGGCAAGGCTCTGGAACTTCAAGGAAGGCTCTTCCTTAACGGTCCAACCTGCACTTGCACGATCTGTGTCTACATCCACAGGATCTCCACGTGTTGCTGTGGCCAACCATGCACGCGCATCCGGATGCTCGGCTGGCTCCAACTTGGGTACGCCAACCAAAAGAGCAGGGGCAGGGTGAGGAATTGACAATGAACTCGATGCCGGCCTTGAAGAAGCAGGTGCAGCAGGCAAAGCCCCATCAGCCCGAAGCAACGCATCCAAACCAGGCGTGGAAGTCAAAGGAGTAGCAGGACAAGCTGGCGAAGCAGGACGTACAGGATGATCATGTCGACGGAATAGCTCTTTCAACCATTCAGTCTCCCATGCCACAGATGCGGAATAAGTATCCGGCTGAGGCCCACCATTTTTCCAATTCTTCAGGGTTGGCTTGCAATCTGGAAGAAGAATGTCCTTTGAATCTGAGTTGGTCCAAAAAACACGCTGCACCTTGACATGCTTCAGTGGGTGGTCGGAAATAGATGTACTTCTCAGCAAACACGATGAAGGCAGCCCTTTTCAGAATTGCCATAGCATCGGCATTGGCGATGTAGCCCACGGCTGGACGGACCAGCTTCATGAAAGACTCATGGGAGACTTCTGCTGAGAAAACACCATCAACATCGCCTTCTTGACCCTCTGGGTTGTACTGGTTGTCTACGACGATGCGAAGCTGATGCATCACGAACTTCGCTGCTGTCCACCTGCCCAAGAAAATTAATGATTTACATTCACAGACATGCATGTCAAGGGAAAACACAATATGTGGATTGCACATGTGATGTGACATTGCAGAGCCCGGCCTTTCTTTCAGGATGGTCTCAGAATCTCCCACATCTGAGAACGCCTTTTTCTTTTTGATGGTCTCATTACCGATTTCACCATCGTCAAAAATGGCAGGCGTGGCCTTGTCGAAGAAGATGCAACGAAAGAAATCAAACTCCGGGGCTGACCTGAACTGACCATTTCCTCCATGATATCGCGAAAACATCATGGAAAGAATTCGAGCGAGAGGGGTTTTGCCGACACCGGACTCTCCGAGCAGCCACAGGGAATGTCCACGAAGATGAGGCAAGAGATCTTCCAAGATGGTCAAGATTTCTGGCTGAATGGCTTGGATGGTCAAATCATATCTGTCAGACAATTTGGCCAGACATCCGTCATTAGCAAGACAATCAAGAGCTCTCTGAACCAACTTCTCGTTCCAACCATGGATCGGAGAACCTTCTTTTTGGACGTGGCGATGGATCCAGCGCATCTGCTTCAAGTTCTCCTTGTCTCTCTCACCGTTGCTGATGATGAAGTCCCATCCTGCATCCTGTTCATCTTCTCCTTGAGGGGCACGTGCTTTGTTGGATCGGACCTTCTCAGCGGAAAGAGAGAAGTGACGAAACTGATGCCCACCCAGGCACTCCAACATCCACTGGAAGCCACGGCGAGCTTGCTGTTTGTTGAGGGAGGCCCAAGCAATCTCCTTGCCTTGACCACGCACGAGCTTGGCAACATATGCGCCCTTGACCTTGTCTCTGATGATGGCTTTCAGATTGTCCATGTCGATCGAGGAGGGCTCGACATCATAGATCAAATCAACGAAGTGCTTGATTGAAGGAGTAGAGTCCAAAAGCCTGAGAAGCATAAGAAAGAATCATGCATAAATATCACATGTGATGGGGTATGGCCTATCGACTTTCGATGACACTTGAAGACAGACAAGAAACTCCTTCAAAGGTAGACAGATCGGAGTGACCGAACCGACCGGTAGAGGGCCAACATGAACATGAGCTGGAAGTTCTCGCAGCGTGAGGTGCTGGGTCGCTGCGATGGCATCGCTCAGGGACATATTATCGCCCTCCACCTCCATGGCCATAGAGTGTTGAAGGGCTCGAAAGATAGCACAGAAGCAAATTGAACGATACAAGGATGACTATGAGCCAGACAGGATGGGCATAGGAAGTTTCTGAAATTGCAAAACTAAAAAACAAACAAAAAAAACAAACTCATGGCTTGCAGACGGTCTTGGGTCCAAAGGTTTTCTTTTTGGTTTTCCTGAGTGCACTGTCAAAAACCTGTTGAAAAACCAAAAAAACAAAAAAACCGACTCATGGATTGCAGAGGGTCTTGGGTTGGTTGGGTTGGTTTTTTGGGTTTTTTTGTTTTTGTTGTTTTGTTTGGTTTTTTTGGTTTTTTGTTTTTTGTTTTTTTGTTTTTTTGTGTTTTTGGGTTTTTTGGTTATGTGACACTGAAGACACTGAAGCATTTAGTAGAATACACTCACTGAAATATAGTGTTTTTGCACTAGTCTACTAGATATGCAAGAATACATTGAAATATTTACAGTTTTAGCGCACGCTGGTGGTAACGTGTTCTGTATTTTTTTGTAGTTAGTTTTTTGCTTAATCAGTGGTTCTTCCCTTCTTGGATAGGATTTTGATTGCAGATTGTCCAAAGTTGTGATATTTATAAAGGAACAATTGTTTTATTCAATCAAGACCAGGGATCTTCATGGACGACACCGGAGGGACACCGTGTTCACATATACGCATTCATACTGTCAATGTCGCATCAAGGATGAGCATAGTAAAATAAATATATATACAGTATATATAATAAAATAATAATAGCCTTGCATGATGGAGGAGGGCCTGCATAAGGTGGGATTTTTGTATGTACGCGTAGGTCCTAGGTTCCATAAAGGATTGTGTGAAGGCACTTAAAAATATACCCTTCAAATAAGAATGTCCAATTCAGTTGTTGGAAAGAAGCAGGGCAGCAGATCCTTCTGAAGAAAGGAAAGAAAGGATGTTCCTCAAAAGACCGATCCTCAAGTTTGTTTACAATATATATTGGCTGGGTTCACATTATCTACCCTCCCTCCAACAATCATGGAAGTGGACGGCATGGCCCCTGGAAAGGCCAGTGTCCTCCACAAACAGGGAGTTGTCCACTACCAGCCACTTCCGACTGTGAGCGATCCATACTACCTCACCCTTTCACTTTAAACCTGCACAGATCTCAAGCGCCGTGACACTACTGAGCTTGGTCCCCAATCACTACCAAAATCCCAAGGCAGTAGAGCAAATGTTTGTCTACTGCTGACTGCTGCTTGAAAGCCCGTCCCTACCCATCTCATCAATAAAGGCCCTCAAAGGCTTCAGGTGCACTGAAGACTTCAGGATGAAAAGACACCAACAAAAACGGCATCCGCAGGTCCGCAAGCATGGATCCAAAATGTTCCAACTATTGGACAGCCAGCAAGTGCGCCAATGCAATCAGTTGAGCAAACCAGGATCGTGACAAGCCCAACAGGTCCCTGGTCCTGGCCATGGAAAAGAGAACCGATCTTGCAAGGTGGAGATCTTGAATTGACGGAAGCCACACGAAAAGGAAGCTCAACACCAACAGCAACAACAAAAACACCACAACCAAACAACCGTAACAAGCAACCAACCAACCTACCTACCAACCAAACAAACCAACCAAACCGGACCAAACCAACAAACCAAACAAACCAGACAAACCAACAAACCAACAAACCAAACACACCAAACAAACCAAACTAACCAACAAACCAACAAACCAAACACACCAAACAAACCAAACTAACCAACAAACAGACAAGCAAGCAAGCAAGCAAGCAAGCAAGCAAACAAACAAACAAACAAACGAGCAAACCAACAAACAAACAAATAAACAAACAAACAAACAAACAACAACCACAACCACAACCACAACCACAACACACCCTCCTTTCGTCTTGCCCCTGCACCTGCTTTCCCCTGGCACCTGCCACCGAATACCCTGCTGCTGGCCCGCTGTTGGGCGTAAGCCCCTGAAATATGTGTATATATATATATGTACACATATGCAAGTTGAGTATTTCAAGCCGAGTATTTTTGCCGAGCAACCAATGCCAAATCCAAAGGCGTGCGGTCCTTCCTGAGATTTCTGGCAAGGGACTAAGGTCTTCTGGGTTTATCATCAGGCACAGATTCCATTCATTAGACCTTTGGGTGACACACATGGAAGGTTCATCACTGTTCACTGCCCGCACTTCTTTTAGAATTCCAAGGCTCATGTCCACCGCATTCTTGTTTGCCCTCGCTTCGCACAAGAGCCTGACAACTTCAATCCGTTTCTGAGCCTTCTCACTGCGTGGCTCCTCAGGGCCGCGACATCATCAGTCCAGAAGGCATGTGACAAAATGTGATCCAAGTCCATCTTGCTTCATATTTTCCAAAAAAAGGACAAAATTGTTTTAATTTCAAGACCAAGATTGCCTGGCCAGTGGCTGTGGGCCAACCCTTGTCTGTGCATTTGCAAGGTTGCAAGTCTTGTGGTTTTCTATATCGCTCTTAGCCATCTCAACCACTTACATATAGCCGTGAGGAAATTGCCATCCAAGGCTCGTCAAGGCATGCGTCCCGGCAGGCATCATGCAGGATGGTGAAGCGCTGCCCATCGGAAGAGCGCAGGAAAACTGGAAGCTGTGCTTTCAAGCCTTCGTCAAATGATTTTCAAAAACAACCAAGACGTACGAACCTTACGGGTTCCAAATTACATGGTTTACGAGAGGAAAGTCAACGAGGATGCATGATTAAGAAACAGTTTGGATGTGTATATATATGTATATATATTATGGTTTGTTAAGTTATTACTATATATGTATATATTTAAGGAACAAGAAAAGGATCAAGAAACATAGTCCCAGTGAGCAATGAAAGGAAACAGAGACTACCGAAAGGACAACAGCAGCAGGGCGCTAAAAGGATCAGGCAATCCTGCCACAGAGCAAAGAAAAGCACAAAAGTCCACCACAAAGAACAGCAAAAGAAAGTGAAAGGTTAGAAATGTTGGACACAGGAAAGGTGGGCCCTATCATCCACCAGAGGACAATGAAAGGATGTTTCCAACACATAATCAGAAAGACTTAGGCGAGGATAATTGGCAAAAGTAGAAAGTCACTTTGACCAGTGGACCACAACGCCAGCGGAGGCAAACCGGGGGGCCAAAGGACCGGAGGAAAGGACCAGGAGACCAAAGGATCCGGGGGTGGGCGAAATCGAAGTCGGGCCTCGCCTGCTTGGACTTTCCCAGGATTGCACTCCTGGACGCTACTAGGAACAAGAAGCTACTAGGGGCTCCTGGCCTTACTATATACTAGGAACAAGAAGCTACTAGGGGCTCCTGGCATCGCTACTAGCAGCAAGGACGCTACTAGGGACTCCTCCTGGCCTTACTACTAGGAGCAAGAAGCTACTAGGGGCTCTTGGCCTTACTACTAGGAGCAAGGACGCTACTAGGGGCTCCTGGCCTTACTACTAGGAGCAAGAAGCTACTAGGGGCTCCTGGCCTTACTACTAGGAACAACAAGCTATTAGGGGCTCCTGGCATCGCTACTAGGAGCAAGGACGCTACTAGGGACTCCTGGCCTTACTACTAGGAGCATCGCTACTAGGAGCAAGGACGGGGGCTCCTACTAGGGGCTTCCGGCATCGCATATATTAGGAGCAAGGACGCTACTAGTAGGGGCTCCTGGCCTTACTCTTACTACTCGGAGCAAGGACGCTCTAGGGGCTCCTAGCCTTACTACTAGGAGCAAGGACGCTACTAGGGGCTCCTGCATACGCTACTAGGGGCTCCTGGCCTTACTACTAGGAGCAAGGACGCTACTAGGGGCTCCTGCCCTTACTACTAGGAGCAAGAAGCTACTAGGGGCTCCTGGCCTCACGACAAGGAGCAAGAAGCTACTAGGGGCTCTTGGCCTTACTACTAGGAGCAAGGACGCTACTAGGGGCTCCTGGCCTTACTACCAGGAGCAAGAAGCTACTAGGGGCTCCTGGCACTGTTACTAGGAGCAAGGACGCTACTAGGGGCTCCTGGCCTTACTACTAGGAGCAAGGATGCTACTAGGGGCTCCTGGCATCGCTACTAGCACCGTTACTAGGAGCAAGGACGCTACTAGGGGCTCCTGGCCTTACTACTAGGAGCAAGGATGCTACTAGGGGCTCCTGGCATCGCTACTAGGAGCAAGGACGCTACTAGGGGCTCCTGGCCTTGCTACTAGGAACAAGAAGCTACTAGGGGCTCCTGGCACCGTTACTAGGAGCAAGGACGCTACTAGGGGCTCCTGGCCTTACTACTAGGAGCAAGGATGCTACCAGGGGCTCCTGGACATAGCGCAAGAGATCCGCCGAGGTCATCTTCCAGTCCGCGGCCTTCCCTGTGCGCACGCGCTCGGCATAGTCTTCAGCACGCTGTCGTGACTCCTGGAGACCCCAGGAGCGACGTAGGTGGACCAAATGTGGAGCTGGACAGGTTAGAGTCGGTTTGAGTACATCAAGGCTTTTTTTCCAGCCATACCTCGCGCCGACCTGGTCAGGACGGGCTTATTGCAAGGCGTTGGCACAGCCAAAGAACGGTAATTAAAAATCTCTGTTCAATGCGGCTGCATATATTCTTGCATCATCGGTGTTTTCATCGAAATTACGATGTCTCAAAACGTTTTCGTATGCAAATTTCTTTGTGATATGCAGCCAGTTTTGCCTCGGTTTCCCAACTCGTTTGGCGCCGTAATCAACTCTGGATGCAGTGCTATCAACGAATGATACTTGTCTCATGGGGTCATCATTACTGCTTCTAATTATATGCCCAAGTAATTTACATCTTCTGTGCATATGGTAATCACTGAAACGTATAATTTGTCTGTTATCGCCCCGAGTTGGGAAGGCAATGGCAGTTGCTTCCTCAAGAATCTTTTGACTCGTACATGACCGATCTATGAAAGTAGGCGGTCTTTTGAGAATCTTTCTCAAGCTTCTTAATTGGAAAGCATCTAGTGATTTGCTTAGCGCCTGGGTTAAATGTATAGTTTCCAACCCATATAAAAGCTTACTCCGGATTATGGCATCAAAAATGATTAGCTTCCACTTTTTGCTGGCTCCAGAAGCTTGCCAATAGGCGCTGAGCTTGAACTAGGTCCTTCTGACCTCTGACATTTTATTGAGGATTTCATGTTTTATATTTACTGTCCTGTTTATCTCATTTCCAAGATACATGGCCTCAAATTCTTTGTTCAAAGGGGTCCCAACATGAAAATGAATACAACCGTCGTTGTTCATAGTGATAGCAACACATTTGTTTTTATTGAGACCAAGTCCGTATCCACTGGAGATTTTCTCTGTCAATTTCAGCAATTCGTTTAATGCTCGGTTGTTCCGTGAGAAAAGTACAGTGTCATCTGCATAATAGATCCTGTCAAAATTAACCCCTGGGATTCGATTATTTGTCACATAAGCAGAAATACTTTGTTGAATGTCAATGTCGATGCAGGTCATGACTAATACAAATAGGAAAGGTGACAGTGGGCAACCTTGTCGGATCCCAGAGGATTGAACTTTAAAATCGGAACAACCGAATTCGTCCTTGACATAAAACTGAGGCTTTGCATAACAGTCTGCGATGACTTCTGTATACTGCGAATTGAAACCCAGTCGGCCAAGGGCAACAAGAAGCTTGTCATGTTGAATTTTATCGAATGCTTTTTCCCAATCTAGGAAGGCAATGCTCAGCTTCGCCCCCTTAATTTCGGAATAATCTTGAATTCGTCTGAGAATATAGATGGCATGTGAAGTAGACTTGCTGGGCCTGAAGCCGTACTGGGTTTTAGACAGTAGATGCTCTGTGGCTGCCTGCATTCTGGTCCTGATCATCACCATGTATATTTTATAGAAACTGTTGAGTAAGGAGATTGGTCTGTAATTGGAAGCAATATCTGTATCCCCTTTCTTGAAGATAGGGACAACACGGGCCATGAACAATGCCGACGGCGCAGTTTTTGTATTCCACCAGCTGTTGATAACAGATAAAAGAACCCGCCGGTTGGCATTGTCCAGCCACTTGATCAGTTCCATAGTTAGACCATCAGGGCCAGGTTGTTTATTGGGCTTTGCCGCCTTGATGGCTGCACAGAGCTCTTGCATTGTGAAACTCTCTACTCCTGCATCGTTGCTATCTACAAGTTTGCTGTGGTTGATTTCGTTTTCAGCTTGGTTGCTCCAGTGTTTTTGTTCTAGATAGTTCGCTATAGTCTCAGCGCGTTGGGCCAAAGGGACATGCTGACCATCCATGTTCTTCATTTTCACATAATTGGGTATGAATTTCTTTTTTAATCCCTTAACCGCTCTCCATAAACCTTTCTTATTGGGATCTTGGGGGTTCTCATTGAATTGTTCTATCAAATGGTCTTGCCTGTCCCTCCGGGCCATTCGGGCAATTTCCCTGTTGAGGTTCGTTATTTCCTTTGCTGTGGTTCCGTTTCGGGCCTTTTCGTTTCTCTCTTCAATTTTTGCCCAAGTACTTTGACGGATAATTTTTTTCGTTTTATTCGGAGGTTCTATCCTTAGTGAGCTTGCGGCCGCGTTTTTCATGGCCTCTGTGAGTGAATCCAAGTCGCATCTTTTCCCCTCTAGCAAAGACCGAATGTTATTATTGTAGAAAATCCATCTGTCTGAGTCAGGTTTCGCATATCGCGACGTACGTGGCGCATTATCCTTTTTAAATGTAGGGAAAGAAAGATTGAGCTTGCATTCCAACACAAAATGGTCTGAATCAAAACGAACATCTAATCTACTTTGGATATCTGATATTGCTCTTTGCTCGATCTGCCCACAGAGCCAGTAATCGATCTGTGCATATTTTATTGCGTCATATGGGGGGCCATTGTATTCTTCGTTTTCATCCATATGGACTTTTTCCTTGTAAGTGACTAACTTTTCAGGCGGTTTCGAAAACAAGCTGTTTGCAACTTGAAGGCGGTGTGATTTGCAAAACCCAAGGGAAAGTGCCCTATTTTCTTTTGTATGTTCATTCATGTTATCTAGATATTCCATTCCTCTGCCTATGATATGTGGTCCACATACATCGATATCGTTGTCTCTAAAGTAATGAATACGGGCGTTGAAGTCTCCTCCAATCAAGAAGCGCCCTTTTATTCGCGACACTTCTGTGGATAGTTGGTCGTAGAATTCCTCTTTCTGTTCAATAGTGTGTCCGCTGTGAGGTGCATATGCACAAATAAAGGAAAGAGGTGAGCCCTGTGCTTCAATCGTGGCTGTTATTATCCGGCCGTTAATTTGTCTAATATCTCGCAGACTTGGAAGGAGTGATGAATTAATCACTATTCCTACTCCGGCATTTTCAAAGTCCTCCGATGTTCTGTAGTTTGCTCTCGCCCTTCCAGGGTTTATGTGTTCGTCCCTTTTTTTCATTTCTCGTTCTCTTATTTTGGGGTCAATATTACTACTAAAGAAACAAGTTGAGCTGTCCCATTTTTCCCAGCTGGAGGTATTAACGTTGGTCTCTGTTAGAAGTAGTATATCGTATGAGTGCTTCTTCATAATATCATCAATTACTTCCCGTTTGGTAAGGTGATTGCATCCTCTTACATTCAAAGTGGCAACTTTCAAGCGACTTCCGTGTTTTAGCTTCCATTGTTTCGCCTCATTTTACATCAAGGCTTACTAAGTCTTACTAGTGACGTTACTGCGGATTCGCTGCTGCACATGCTTGCACCTCTATTTCAAGAGGAATGATCACCAATCTAGTGGGGTGAACTCATCAATGTCCATGATGTTGTTATTATGCCTCTTGACAGCGCCATTGGGCCAGCAATTCTTGGTTTGTATGGCTTTTCACACCCAAATGTCAATGCTTGGCTACTGGGTTGCAAAACCGTCCTTGATGGTATCAAATTGCTCCAGGCGAGATTCTGCGGTCTCCAAGACCTGCCGGCTGCCGAATGGACTCTTAAAACGCCGGCCGATCCGGATCTGACTCTCCATCTCGAGAGAAGAAATTGGGCGAGGTTGCCCCATTTCAAGACAATGGTTTGTTCTTTTCATACGATTCTTCCAGTCTTCTAGTTGGACCGACCAGTGCAAGAGAAGGGTGAAGAAATGGCAAATGTTTGGTGGGGTGGTGGATCACTACTGGCATGTTATTCCACCTGGCAACAATAAGTTTCATCACCCAACCAAGCAATTTTCACAGGGAATGGTTGCCAGCACTCAAGTCCAAGGAACTCGCTGCAGGGAGCTAAGCGATGCAGGCGGAGCTATTGCCAAGTAGGGCTGCTTCAAGAGCTCGTGAACCTCTGCGATGGCTTCCCGCAACCTTGGAGGCTTTGGAAGGCCCATCTTTGGTCTTAGGTATTGAATGGTCAAGCAACATGATCGCACGAATTTCATCACTCTTCAGAGACTTTAGATTACATGGTATTACATTACATGTATATATTATATATTGAGGAACAGTTGTACAACTCAACTTGACTGCCAAAGTTCTCTCACCTCCTTCCCCAACATTCTGTTTGCAAACCGGGGTGCATTTCTGCATCGCCAGTCCGCAAGCCCATACGCAGGCGGCCTTCCAAATCCGCGCGCACCGCAGCGCTTTCCTGGAGAGCCTCCTGGAAAGCACAAGCACTCGGTATCATGGGCCCAACAAGCATCTGCTTGGAAACGTAGTATATAACTGGTGACAAGACTCTCCAATCCTGGCTATCACCCACATGCAATCAACATGCGCGGAGTACATGAATGTTTTCTTGGTTGCTTGCTAAGGATCATCGGTGCGGAAGCGAAGCAAATATCCAGCAATTCGGTCACGCAAAGCAGAACTAGACTAAGCTAGTATTGGGTACAAACATACCAGTACCAACATCTAACGTGATGGAGCTGGTTTCATGGGTAAAAGGATAGCAGTCAGGCTTACGACTGAGTTCGTTGGTTGGTGCGGTAACCGGTAGGGCATTACGATCTGTTATAGTTTATATTATTTCATAACATGACCGGACTGAGTCGCTTCACACCTGACCCCCACCAGGACCAGGGTTGAAGCTTCAAGGCTAACGCAACAAGAAGTTATTAATGTCGGATCAAGGTCTTTTTCCGCAGGTCAGAATACATTTCATCGCGTCCGGGTCCATATTTCAGTTGATGGTTGATGGTTGGCGACGGGTCAGTCTCCTTGACGCGTGCCTCCCGTTCAGTGGCTTCTTTGGTCTGCTCACTGGCCTGAAGACGGCTCACTCGTTGTTTTGAGTATAATATAACCCCGCTGGTTGGAAAAATAGGATCAGTCAGCAAACCCCATGTTCTGACCAGCCACAACTGGTTTCTTCTGGAGCTTCCCTCGTGACATGCTTGGTTGATCCCCAGAATGCTGTATCAAGGAGGCCAGCTCTGACTTGGATCATCCAGCCCAATCACCAGAAACAGGTAATTTCCTGTGGTAAAGAGAATGAACCTGGAGCCTGTTGGACAGAACCCGCATCGGCACTGATTTGGCTTGGATAATGGAAGTAAAGCGTTCTTTGCCAGTGTTTGCCAGGGCACAAACTTCTTGTAGCGCTCCTGGCGGCTGGCCTCCACCTTGTTTTCCAAGTCCCTCATACTCACGAGCCAGTTCGCGTCCGCAGCTTCCGGGCCTCACAGGTCAAAAGGAAGCGAGGCTTCCGACCATAGTCACTAGTCTGGGTACTTGGACTTTCACATTTGGTGGCGACCAAAATCGCAACAGCTCGGATATGTTGCTTGCCTGGAGCAGACATGATGGCTGGAGGCTCAGCAGACAACTCCACGTCTTGCAAACAATATTCCGGTATCATCTTCAAGATCTCCACCCCCTGACACAATCAAACACTCAAGTCGGCCAACTTCTCAATCTGGAATGTTGAACTACTGATTCAGAAAACAGAAACCGGTAATCCTCCTCTGCAGTTCAGGCTTTGCCAGGCCTCAAGATCCACCTCGTAGAGTCCAGTCCTTGGATCAAAAATAACCACTTGGCTCACTGTCTGCTTCGGCAACTATGTTTCGGTAACCAAACAATCTGTTTCGGCAACCAAACCGTCTGATTCAGCAACCAAAAGGTCTGCTTCAGGAACCGAAGGTCTGGTTCGGTAACCAAAAGGTCCGCTTCGGAACCAAAAAGGTCTGCTGCAGTAACTTTTGGTATATAACCTAAAGGCCTGCTGCGGTAACTGAGTGTGGCAACTAAACTACCATCATCCACATGGTTGGTTTGTGCATCATTTCGTTTTGGCCAATGACAATGTTGCAAACACGCTGACGAGACTGTGAAACCGATGGCAATGATGAGCATTGCCCCCCAACCCCCCAACCCAATTTAAGCATACACTGTCTGCGTGACAACATTGTGACAGAGCAATGAAAATGATGAGCCTTGGCCCCCCCACAACCCCCCCCCCCCCGCTACCTATGTAATTAAGCATGTCCTGGCTCCATGACAATGCCACCGATGACAAAATGAAGCCAATGACAATGATGAGCATGGGCCGGCCCCCGCCCCAATTTGATCAGATTCTCGTTCGATGACAATGTTGTGAAACCGATGACAATGATGAGCATTGGCCCCGCCCCACCAACCCCCGCGCCCCAATTCAATCTTACTCTCGTTCGATAACAATGTGGCAAAGCCAGTGACAACGTTATGAAATGATGTAACCGATGCATGCCTCAACTTGCATGGCGCAGCTGAGGGGTTCTGGGCTGCAGAAACGGGTACAGTAGTTGCTTGGCTGCTGAGCCGCGCATGTTGGTTGCTTAAAAAACGGGTCTTGGTTGCTGAAACACGTAGTTGCTGAAACGTGGTCGCTGAAACGGGGTTGCTGAACGCTTGGTTGCTGAAACGGTCAATGACCAGCCACTTGGGCTGCTCCTGCTAACGAGACCTCGGCCATTTTTCACGTCTTGAGGAGTCGCCCAAGTTCAGCCAAAAACTCAGTCGGCGTTTTGCCCAACATCTGCTGACGCCACATCCACTGAAAGCATTTTCGCTTCAGTATCGGATTCAACAGCGTGTGTCCGTTCTCTTTTTTGGACAGAAAAGCCTGCGGACAGAAACGGTGTCAGCAGCAAACAAATCGTGCGAGTCACCCACACCGTGAGAGGTTCGTGCATATAATAACATCGAACAAACACTGTCCATGTCTGTGAAGTGGGAATATGTCTACGCTACATCAACACAAGAACATCATTAGATCCCCACCCCCCACCCCACCCTCCCATGTGTGTATGTCGGGTGCTACTGAAGCGAAAACGGTGTAAAAAGTCAAAAATGCACAGAACGCCACGGCCATCTATGGCACATGCTCCAACTACACATGGCACAATCCCAATTAGACTCATCGGTCAAAGATCAAACCTATGTATTGTATACAGGCTCAAAAGCTCCAGGCACTAGACATGTATCTGGAGGCCAAGCATCTCGTGGCTGTAGTCTAACACCCACCCATGCGCTCCATCTAGCTCCGGTCGGCCGACGATGTTTTGCAGAATCACCTGACTGGCTTTGACTTTGGACCAAGCAAGTTAAGTTGTCTTGCCCTGGAACCTGGAACTCTCCAATTTTTACATATGGCAAGTTCACCCAGTTCATTGGATGTTCAAGTAGCGTCAGATCCTCATGAGGGAAAACAGACTGCTCATGATGAATACTGAGTGACAAAAGGACTTCTGTTTGAACCACATCATCAACGAGCGGCCTCTGCCCCACGTCGAATGCCAGGACCACTCAAGGCCAGCACCTCAACCTGTCCTGGCAGACCTGTCCGGCAGTCCAAGGAGGTATAGAGAAAACCCAATCAATTCTTTTTGATCTATTCACAGAGATTCTCGCAAAGTTTATCATATTATCTTATGATCTAGGGACTGAAGGTTCCATTGTTTGGAGATATCCTCAAGGAGATATAGTATGATATAGTGGTCTCTTTGAAGGATCAGGACCATCTGTTTCCTGTTTGCTCTCAGAAATGCTTTCCTGAACTAAAACTTCGAGCACACTCTTGTTGCGCATGATTGCTCACGGGGCAAAATGTTGAGAGCACCCCGGCCTCCAATGCTATGTCGCACCTCCGGGGTATAGGTACCTTCCTTGCAAGGTCTTCACAAAACCCAATCGAGACCAAGCAAAAGCACAAGCCAGCTTCAAGCATAATTCAGCAGACAAGCTGAAGACGAGAAAGAAAAGGGTAAACAAGTTGGGGCACCAAGCCAAAATCTGTGACAGCGACACGACTCTTTGTTTAGAAGCAGGAACTCTGTAAGCGGAAAAGAAATTCTCTGGATTCTCTGGGGCCCTTGCATCTTGCAGACTTGGCAAGCCATGCTCGGGCACCAAAGTCGAGGAATTGTCATGATCTTCCTCTTCATGGGCTGAGCCCTCCTGCAAGTCTAGGAACTCTGATGAATTTGATACCCCCCCACTGCACCAAGGAAGATGTTGCCCTTCTTGCATCAAAATCCTAGATCCTCCTTGAAAAAAGCACTTATGACTCACCAAAAGCACATCTGCCAAAAATTGGTTCAAGGGCCTGCCGTTGGTCTCTAGCGCCTCTCCTTGGGAGGTTCTCGTGGATCAAATGCCAAAATGTGATCTGGCAACTTGGAGTGGTATTCCGTGCCGTTCGTCATGCGGACCACATTGTAGTTGCCATGCACATCTTGGACACCCTCCACCAACTTGTCATTATGCAAATAGTTTTGGAATTCTCTCGCCTGCGGAAGTTGGAAACAGGCAACTGCTCAAGTCTCAAGTCAACCCTGCCAATGCCGGCCTGATTCCGCTGGAAAGTATAGCATGCCACGATCAGTCCCAGCGCGGTGCAACCAGAAAACACCAGCGAAGTAATCTGTGCAGCCTGGCACCACCTAACCTCTGTTGTTGGACCTCCAAAGCAGCGGAACTTCTCGGGAACAAGCTGAGTTCCTGCCAAGAATGTTGCAGGAATAGAACATATTGCGCTTGTCTTCAATTCACGACATCAAGCAAATAAAACGCCGAATGTACTTTATTGATATTCTTTGGGCCCTCTCCTTGACATTCCAAGGTTTCCGGCACCGGATAGTACATGTCCGCACAACGTGCAGTACAAACCAGGTTTGGTCTTGAACCTTCCACGCAGGTGGAAAGTGCAGAATTTGGAATGTTCTTGTGCAGCGGCGCGAGGCAATCACCTAGACGGCACAGCGCGTGTGCACAGCGTGCGGATCCGTACGGATGACGCCTACATACAGGGCCATCGTTATGCTGGGGCAAGTGGAGATTCGGAGAAGGCGAAAGCAAACTCTTCAAGCAGCATCAGAGAGTTTTTCCTCCCACCCGGAGAAGCTTAACAGGTCCTGTTGGAAGAGTCGGAAGAATCCGGGTGGGTCTGCAGGAAGCTGTGGTGCGAGTTTCATGGTCTGGTGCTAAAGTGGCAAAAAATGTCAGCCTGTACTGTACTTGGCCCTAGTTGAGTGGTGTCCAGGAGCACCGACGAGGCGATTTGAGCCCAACCTACAATGGAGCGGCATTGAGGACCAGTGTAGCCCTTGTCACAATTGCATTCGCAACTGCCATCCTCTCGGCGCTTGCCGGTGGCTGTCCCATGAAAGACGCAATCGAAATCGGAGCATTCCTCGGAGGCAGAAAACGCAAGGCGACTCACAGGACCTTTTTGTGCCTGTGGGGGGCCCCGTGCCTCCTTACTTGTTCAAGTAAAAGCCTACCTCACCACATGACGATATCGTTCGGGTTAGGGCACACAAGAAGAATCCATCCACCCCTCAAATTCAGCTGGACAAGTGGAACCTCTGCGGCCACGTCTCCGGCGGCGTAGTGCTGGTGGTTTCCTTGTAGGCATCTGGAGTGTTGCCAAACTCGTCAACAGGAGCTTCGTTGACCCAGATTTGGTCACAGGTGAAGCCAAGTGGGAGCAAAAAAGTACCATCCGCAGTGCCTCAGAACAGACGAATTCTGGATGCTTGACACCTGGTTTCAATTGAACTCACTGTATTCAGCTCTCTCGGTGTCTCCAAGATACACGTGAAGCTGGGGTGATTTGGCTGGTAGCCCTCTTGACAGCTCGGCGTACAAACTCCATTTGGGTAGATCCAATTACCCTCTTCGCAGGCAGGATCAAGAGAATTTTGCACACCTGGTACCTTGCGAGTTGAAGAACTTGCTTTTTTGCTGGATATAGGGTCTGGGTGGGTCTGCTCACTAACTCCAGGCTTTGTGGATGACTCTTCAAAAGATTCGGGCTGCTGCTGTTGAAAAATTGAGTGTACAGTGTACAGGGTGAAATTGCTCGCAACAAGTATTTGCATGCTTCGTGGAAGGCCATCCAACGCTACCTTTCACCTCTAGAAGGAAATGGTGTGTTCTGGATTCTGAACCTTTGCTGTGCAACCAACGAGTACGACTCTTTCTTATGCTGAGGTGTCATGTCCACCCACAACGTGGGTGAACCGACCCTTTGCCTGGCAAAGAGGAATCTCACACGAATCACCAGCACGATCTGGACTGCATTCGCACCTCATCTCATGGGGTGAAGCTGTGAAGCCGGGGTGAAGCTGGACCGTGTCTCACTGTTCGGCTCTTGGCCAGCCTAAGAGGGCCATTACTTTGATGCTCTGATGGATCTATCTCTTTCCTCCGTTGCGGGTCTTTCTATTCCCACTTCATGCAATCGTGTCGATTGGGGACACTGCAAAATAAGACCTGGAAGTTTGGAAGCTTCTCTACTTCTTGTTTGCAAGTGACTCAAGTGCATTCCACTGAGAGTCCAACAAACAGTTCGGGCCGTTCTCTTTGCTCCCAATTGCCACGCCAGCACCGTTGCAGTCCTCAGTGGTTGCTGATCCAAGCATCTCAAGGGGTGGTCCTGTAGTGTAGTGAGAAACATCCAGGTTGGTCCACAGGAACTGACCGACTCAGTGTGCCAGAGGTTTGGATTCCAGTCGAATTGGCCTGGACATGTGGAAATTGCGAGGATTATGAGGTTAGATCTACACCCAGGGCGATTAATCAACCGCCGTCACTTTGAGATGCATTCGAGACATGAAAAGTCTTCTGGACATGAAACAAAGCATTTGAGACATCGCTGTTTCATCGCTATTTCACATCTCTGAGTTTGTGTGTTTCTACTAGCGATGGCCTCCGACCTAATGAACTAAATCTTGCCATGGAACAATCTGGGAATCACAAGTGCAGGACACCAACTCCACAATTTTGGTACGGTACCTGGACACCACAGAGGGAAGGTGGCATGAAATGCTAGCTGCTAGGTATCCACCGTTTGATGCCAGCTTCATGCTGCGGCTTTGCAAATTTGCAGCAGTCAGGTTTGATATACTTTTGCCCACTTGCCCAAATCCTCTTGTCCCAAGTCAACTTTGATATTTCGGGGGGGGCAAAAGGTTTGAACGTTTCCTCCATCTGCAGTGCCAATGCTGTCTGCAAAGCATCGAAATCCGCACTCGGGCACTGGATATAAAAGCTGCCCAAACCATCGTTGCTGGGATACCTGCAACTCAGAGGCAAACGCAGCCCATCTGCAAAAAAGAAGAACTCACTCCCTTTCTGGTCCAATGCCGCATTGTCCAATACCAAAAGGTCAGTTGCTTGACGTTAAAGACTTGGATTCTCTGTCCAATTAGTCACTCTTCGTTGTCAGCGGTTGGCCTGCATTTCAGATTCCAGATGGTGTCCCCTAAGCTTGGCGTTGGATTGAACGTCGGCTGACGTGCAATCTCGGTTCCGTAGCCTCAGGGCACTGAAGCTCAGACTAAAAGACCGTCAGCCGCCCGCAGAGACGAGATAAGGTGTTACTAGTAGCTTCTTGTTACTAGTAGTAAGGCCAGGAGCTACTAGTAGCGTCCTTGCTCGTAGTAGAAAGGCCCTTTGTTCCTAGTAGAAAGATTGATAAAAGTGGCTTGTAAAGATATGTAACCTCAATTAACTAAAGCTTGAGAGCCCCACTGCTGGCCATCAAATCAACCACGTCCGTTTCCAAGACCCACTTTCCGGCCTGCCCGCAAGTGAAGTGCATCTCTGAGACTGTAATATGCTTTAATGCGTATCCAACCTGTAAAAGCTGTCTTATGTAGTGTGTGTGTGTGTGTCGCACCCTGGTTCTAAGGGTTTTCATGTTCCCACTTTTTCCACTGCAGCAGGGGGATGGAGAGGACATGTGAGGCTCCATCCAACGAAGCTCCTCACATGATCCCAGGATATCGGCAAGGACGCTTGCCGACGTACCTGCAATCAACTGCTGCTCACGCTGTTCCACTTTTCCTTTTGTTTCCATGGTGGTTCATGATACCTTCCCTAAGCCATTCCACTTTCTCACGCAGCTGGATTGTACAGAGGCTCGCCACCGCACACCTGTCGAAACTTTGTTCAACCATACGGTTCTTGCTGACCCATGCGCTTTTCCGTTCCCTCACCTTCCTTCCCATCGTGGCAATTGAGTCTAACTGAAAACCAATGTCGAAGTGTGGACCGCTCAGTCTTCCCACTTGGGTACTGGGTGTGACCCTCCGAAAGGAGGCACTGAAATCATACCGGAAATCACCGACCTCTCAATTTTGTAACTGCCTTTTCGTTCGTTCATTTTATCACTGAATTAACGGATTTTCGAGCCGCGGGCTATAAACGATGGACTTCCCACCAGAATCTCTGAACTCTTTCAGTGTTGCAAGGTCATGATATCGGTTTTGTGCATGTTGCGTTTTTT